GTGACAATCACAGGGACACCTGCCATGTCTTTCATGTGAGTACTCTGTGTCCTATGGTGGGAAAATAAAGAAACTAAGTTATTTAATTTTTTGTTTTATATTTTTTCTTTATTGATTAAGGTATTACATATGTGTCCTTATCTCCCCAGTGCCTCCCCCAAGCCCCCCATTCATGCCCTCACCCGCCCTGGTGTCTGTATTCATTGGTTAGGCTTATATATATGCACACAAATCCTTTGGTTGACCTCTCCCCCTTACCACAACCCTCTTCTACCTTCCCTCTGAGGTTTGACAGTCTGATCGATGTTTCTCTATCTCTGGAACTCTTTGTGTTCATCACTTTATGCTGTTCATTATATTCCATAAATAAGTGAGATCATGTGATATTTATTTTTCTCTACTGGCTTATTTTCATTAGCATAATGTTTTCCAGTTCCATCCATGCTGCTGCAAATGGTAAGAATCCCCCCCCCCCTTTTTTTTAACACAGCGTAATATTCCAATGTGTAGATGTACCACAGTTTTTTTTATTTTTATTTATTTATTTTTTAAAATATATTTTATTGATTACAGAGAGGAAGGGAGAGGAGAGCTAGAAACATCGATGAGAAAGAAACATCAACCAGCTGCCCCCTACAAACCCCCTACCAGGGATGCGCCTGCAACCAATGTACATGCCCCTGACCGGAATCGAACCCAGGACCCCTCAGTCGGCAGCCCGACGCTCTAACCACTGAGCCAAACCGGTTTCGACTGTACCACAGTTTTTTAATCCACTCATCTGCTAATGGGCACTAAGGCTGTTTCCAAACTTAGCTATGGTAAATTTGCTGCTATGAACATAGGGGTGCATATATCTTTTCTGGTTGGTGTTTCTAGTTTCTTGGGATATAGGATGACTGGGTCAAATGGGAGTTCCATTTTTAGTTTTTTGAGAAAATACCATTCTGTTCTCCACAGTGGCTGCATCAGTCTGCATTCCCATCAGCAGTGCACAAGGGTTCCTTTTTCTCCACATTCTCCCCAGCACTTGTCGTTTGTTGATTAGTTGATGATAGCCATTCTGGCAGGTGTGAGATGGTACGTCATTGTCATTTTGATTTGCATCTCTTGGATGATTAGTGACTTTGAGCATGTTTTCATATGTCTCTTGGCATTCCTTATATCTTTGTTCAGAAAGTATCTATTTAGGTCCGTTGCCCATTTTTTAATTGGATTGTTTATCTTCACTGTAAATGCTGTATGAGTTCCCTATAAATGTTGGAGATTAAACCCTTATCGGTGATAACATTGGCAAATATGTTCTCCCATGCAGTGGGCTTTTTCATTGTTTTACTGATGGTTTCTTTGTTATACAAAAGCTTTTTATTTTGATGTAGTCCCATTTGTTTATTTTCTCTTTAGATTCCATTTTCCTAGGAGCTGTATCAGTGAAGAAATTGCTTCAGCATATATCTGAGATTTTGGTGCCTGTGGATTCCTCTTAAGATTTTTATGGTTTCCTGACTTATGATTAAGTCTTTTGTTTATTTTGAGTTTATTTTTGTGTACGGTATAAGTTGGTGGTCTAGTTTCTTTTTTTTTCCTCTTTTTTTTTTCTTTTTGCATGTATCTGTCCAATTTTCCCAACACCATTTATTGAAGAGACTGTCTTGACTCCATTGTATGTCCATGCCTCCTTTGTCAAATATTAACTGAGCACAGTGGTTTCGGTTGATTTCTGGTTCTCTGTTCTATTCCATTGATCTACATGTCTCTTCTTGTGCTAGTACCAGGCTGTTTTGAAAGCAGTGGCTTTGTATTGAGATCCCACCTACTTTGTTTTTCTTTCTCAGGATTGCTGCAGCTATTCAGAGTTTTTTTATTATTATTATTCCAGATGAATTTTTGGAGAGTTTGTTCAAGGTCTGTGAAGTATGCCATTGGTATTTTAAGGGGGAGTGCATTGAATCTATAGATTGCTTTGGGTAGTATGGATATTTTAATGACATTGATTCTACCAATCCATGAGCTGGGTATGTTCTTCCATCTGTTTATTTCTTCCTCTGTCTCTTTTCTCACTATCCTGTAGTTTTTTGAATATAGGTCTTTTACCTCCTTAGTTAAGATTATTCCTAGGATCTTATTTATTTATTTTATTATTATTTTTGGTTTGTGAGCAGCATCCCCATTAACTCTCAACCCCGTCCGAGGAGCAGCAACTCACAAGCAGCCTGCCCCTGTCTGAGAAGCAGCAGCCTGGTGAGCAGCCCGACCCCATCCGAGGAGCAGCAGCTGCCCAAGCAGCCTTCTCCTGCCAGCCAAAGGAGCCACCATTGCTGCGAACAGCGCCCACCAGAGGAGACACCGCTAACTAAGGAGCAGCCACCGCCCAAGGAGCCACTGAAACCCAAGGTGCAGCCCCTGCACTACTCAACACATAGATCTTTCAGTGAGAGCAAAAATGGGTAGACAAAGAAACCCCCAAAGGAAAGAAAAGGAAGAATCACCAGAAAAGCAGCTAAGTGAAATGGAGGCATGCAATACATCAGAAAAAAAATTCAGACTAAGGGTCATACAGTTTATAAACCAGATGGATAAAAAATCAATTAATTTATATAAGAATCAAGAAGAAGAAAAAGTTACATAGTTGCAATAAAAAACACTTTGGAAAGTTTCAACAGTAGACTAGGAGAAACGGAGGACCAAATTAGCTAATTAGAAGACAAGGAAGCAAAATACACCAAAACTGAATTGCAATTGAAGAAAAAAATTAAAAGAGGTTATTGAAGCTTTGGAGGTCAATTAATGCATGAGTGATACTGAAATGTGTAATTAGCATAATGGTAGCACAATGCAGTTGCAGTTCCTGAAGACCCATCTGGTGCCAGGATTAAGCCTACAGATGCATGTCTGTGGGTAAGTGTTGAAGTCTGGGAACTGGGGTCACTCAAGCATTGGAACTGAGGTTTGTCATCAAGGGACCCAGCAGTATTTCCAGGGCATGAAAAGTAGCCTCAGGACAGTGACTGCTGCTCAGTGTGACACCTGGGATAAGAGATGAGGCAGGACAAGCTGAAGCAGCCCACAGGGACACGTACTGCAGTGTCACCCAGGAAGGCCTTCCTTCCCCCAGCAGGAGTTGGGAAGGGTGTGTGTGTGTGTTGATGTGTCAAATGTGGCCCACCATGAGGAAGGGTCCTGCTCCACATGCTTTGTGCTTTGCCTTCAGCATGAGCCCAGAACTGCAGGTGGATTTCCACACTGGAACTCAAGAGGACTCAGACATCGCCTTCTCTTTCCGAGTGTACTTTGGCAACTGTGTGGTGATGAACAGCCGTCAGTTTGGGGACTGGAAATCAGAGGAGAAATACGAGGGTATGCCTTTTGTGGATGGCCAACCATTTGAGCTGTGCATCTCGGTGCTTCAAAATGAGTACCAGGTGAGTGTACCCAGGAGCATCCACTACATGGGCTGTACGGGCTGTCAGAGGAGCACACAGCTCTCCCTGGCCTGGCCCTCAGAGTCACTTGTGGTTCATCTCCTGCCCCTCTCATCACAGAGCACCCTCTGCTTGTACTGCCATGCTCAGGGCAAAATCAGCACACATGCCTTCTTCTCCACTGTGGAAAATTTCCTCCCATTTTCACTTGCAGCCTTGTTTTTTACCTGTGCTATCATTCAGTTTTCATGTAGGAGATTGTTAAAATATGCCTATAAATAATTATAATTAGTTTATAATTGAGTGTTTTCTACATTCTCAAACCCAGTTCCTCCCTCCAGAGCAACAGTTACTAGTCCCTTTAAGCTCCTTCCAGAGATATTATATGCTTGTACAAGTCTATCATCTATCTATCATCTATCTATCATCATGTATCTTTATCTGTTTTTATTTCATTTTATTTATTTTTAAAATATATATATTTTATTGATTTTTTACAGAGAGCAAGGGAGTGGAATAGAGATTTGGAAACATCAATGACAGAAAAACATTGATCAGCTGCCTTCTGCACACCCCCTATTGGGAATGTGCCTGCAACCAAGGTAATTGCCCCCAACCGGAATCAAACCTGGGACCCCTCAGACCTCAGGCTGACACTCTATCCACTAAGCCAAACCAGTTTCGGCTGTTTTTATTTCATTTTAAATAAATGATGGTTATAAGTATTTCTAGAAATCACACATTGAAGACTGGAGTTTATTTGTTGTTTAAAAAAAAAAAAAAAATGTATGTTACTTGCCCTAGCTGGTTTGACACAATAGATAGAGCATTGGCCTGCAAACAAAGAGTCCTGGGTTCTATTCAGGTCCTAGGGCACATATCTGGTCAGGGCGTGTGGAGGAGGCAACCAATTGATAGGGTTTCTCTCACATAAATATTTCTCTCTGTCTTTCCCTCTCTCTTCCACTCTCTTTAAAAGTCAATTGAAAAATATCCTCATGTGAGGATTTTTTAAAAATGATAATAAAAATTAGAGAAATCATTCTGACTGTGATGTCCTCACATTAATGTTCATCTAATATTCTAATAGAAGCATTCTTAGAACTATTTAACTTGACCCTTATTTATGCACATTTAGGTGGTTTCCATATTTTGCTCTCATGAATGAAGCTGCATTCTATATAACATTTTCCTCATTATCAACCTCCCACTGCTTATATGAAAGAACAAATTCGGAAATATGGAATAGCTGGTCGAAAAAGTGTGTGTAATTTAAATTTGAAAAACTAAGATCTTAAAAAGTTGACTTTTTTTTTTTTTCCGTAGCCATGATAATAAAGTGTATATTTAAAAATTCTGATCTTTCTAAATGGAAAAGCAAAAAATTAACATCTTATTATGATTGAATTCAGGTATCTTTTCATATACTTATAAGCTGATTTAAATTATCCTCATTTAAAATCATGTGTACAATTCTACCTCTTTAAAGAACACTCAAGCCCTAGCCGTTTTGGCTCAGTGTCAACCCTCAGACTACAGGGTCCTGGGTTTAGTTCCAGTCTAGGGCACATACCTAGGATGCAGGTATGATCTCTGGCCCTGATATATCTCCCTCAAATCAATGTTTCTCTCCCTCTCCACTTCCATTCTGTCTAAAAAGAAATGGAAAATTATCCTCATGTGAGGATTTAAAAAAAAGGAAAGAAAGGATACAGACACTCAGGATTCATGAGACACAGTTCCTGGCCATGACAATCTTCTAAACTAGAGGGAAGGCCTGGCCAACATAGACAATGCAACAGAAAGTGGTAGCTCTTCAGTGGAGGAATAAGAGAATCATAGAAAATAGAGTGAACAACTGTCTGAAATAGTCGCAAAATATAGGTTATAAAGCGAAGCACATCTATTAGCTTTTGAAGTGTTATGGAGAGTTTCTGGGTGGATGGTGTGTCTATAGGGAGAATTAGAAAGAAAGTTGGTAAGTTTTCTTGGTGACAATATCCTTGTTGTAGATAATATCCTTGACAATGTAGTACATATGACATCTCAGACACTCTGAAGCAAAATCTTCCCCCAATTTCAGACAACTAAACCAAGATATTAGTAATCTGTCCCAAGCCACAAAGCTAAAATTGGTTGTTGGGGAAGAAACTTTGTACTTAGAGGACAATCAGGTGAGATTTTTTAAAAATTTAATCTTTATTGTTCAGATTATTACAATTGTTTCTACTTTTCCCCCCATAGCTCCCCTCCACCTGGTTCCCACCCCACCCTCTACCTTTACCTCCCCACCACTGTCCTCATCCATAGGTGTATGATTTTTATCCAGTCTCTTCCCGCACCCACCACACCCCTTTCCGCCTGAGAATTATCAGTCCACTCCCTTTCTATGCCTCGATTCTATTATATTCACTAGTTTATTCTGTTCCTCAGATTTTTAATTCACTTGATTTTAGATTCACTTGTTGGTAGATATGTATTTGTTGTCATAATTTTTATCCTTACCTTTTTCTTCTTTCTCTTCTTAAAGAATACCTTTAAGCATTTCATATAATACTGATTTGGTGTTGATGAACTCCTTTAACTTTTTCGTATCTGTAAAGCTCTTTAGCTGACCTTCCATTCTGAATGATAACCTTCTCTGGTAGAATAATCTTGGCTGTAGGTTCTTGCTGTTCATCACTTTGAATATTTCTTGCCACTCCTGTCTGGCCTGCATAGTTTCTGTTGAGAATTCAGCTGACAATCGTATGGGTGCTCCCTTGTAGGTAATTGACTTTTTCTCTTGCTGCTTTTAATATTCTCTCTTTGTCTTTTGCTCTTGGCATTTTAATTATGATGTGTCTTGGTGTGGTCCTCTTTGGATTCCTTTTGTTTGGGGTCCTATGCACTTCCTGGACTTATAAGTCTATTTCTTTCACCAGGTGGGGGAGTTTTTGATCATTATTTCTTCAAATAGGTTTTCAGTATCTTGCTCTCTCTCTTCTTCTGGCACCCCCACAATTCTGATGTTGGTATGCTTGAAGTTGTCCCAGAGGCTTCTTACACTATCTTCAACTTTCTGGATCCTCTTCTCTTCTTGCTTCTCCGGAGGAGTGTCCTTTGCCTCTTTGTATTCCAAATCTTTGACTTCATTCTTGCATTCTTGTCTGTTGTTGGATCTCTGTATAATACTTTTTATTTCAGTCAGTGTATGTTTAATTTCTAGTTTGGTTTCCTCCATCGCCAGGGAAACCCAAGACTTTGCAGGCTCCATGGCTGGAGCCATCTTGGTTGGTTTGTAGTCACTCCTGATTGGCTTGTGGGTGTGGCTTGTGGGCGTAGTGGAGATGTGGTCAATTTCCATGTTTCTCTTTTATTAGTATATGTATGTGTGTGTGTGTGTGTGTATATGTGTGTGTGTGTATATATGTGTGTGTGTGTGTGTGTGTGTGTGTGTGTATATATATATATATATATATATATATGAGGCCCAGTGCATGAATTCATGCATGGTTGGGGTTTGGCCAGCCTGGCCAGGGGGAGAAGATATGGGTGGTTTGGCTGCTTGCCTGCTGGTCGAACTCCTGGTTGAGGAGACAATTTGCATATTAGCCTTTTATTATATAGGATATACACTGAATGGCCAGATTATTATGCATTCAGAGATCATAATAATCTGGCCACTCAGTGTATATATGCCTCTCAGAGACAGTGAGAGCACTGCTCAGCACTGCTGCTTTGAGTTGTTGAGTCCATATATTTTTCTAAAATTCTTTCCAATTACATCAGGGCTGACTCTTCCTCAAACCCTGCCCACTGTAGTACTGTTGGCAATATAGTCCGAGTTCCTCCTGTATCACTAGTTAGAGGTGTCAGGTCTGAGCCCCCCTGCCTAGGGACTGGACCTCCTATTACACCAGGTCTTTGACAGAGAAACCATGAGAAGCTGTAGGTGTTTAAGAATGAGTCCTTATTGTAGAAGCCAGTGGCCACATAGCCGTCAGACAAAATAGTTCTTTACAGCAAAGTCCATACAGGCAACCAGCCAGATACTGGCTGGTTAACCTGTACCGTACATCTTTCCCACAAAGCAGCATTAGTCTCTGTACCCATAGCTATTATCTGAGCAGCCCCATGCTGCCTCCTAAACTCACTGCCTCACATCATAGTGGTACCTAAGCTCTCTGTCTCAGCAGCTTCTCTTGTCTCCCCTGCCCAGCACACTGGCTGGTCTCCATAGCCTCACATATTAACTACCTCCGAGCTTCTCTCCCAGCACACTGGCTAGTTAACATGGTAGCTATATCTTAGCTCTCTATGAGCTCTTACCTTACATCATAGCGGTATCAGCTCTCAGCTCCATCTGAGCTCTCCTTTCTCCTGCACACATTCTCTGTGCCTACCACCTCTGCTTCTCTGAGCTTTCTCTCTTCTCTCTGATCAGTAACCTGTATATTACTCTAGAGCACATGTGTCAAACACAAGGCCCGCGGGCCAAATCCGTCCCGCCAGGCCTTGCAATGTGGCCCACACCGCGCTGTCATCACTGCACTCCGCTGTGTTTCCATCACAGTGACAGTTTATGACTGTTCAGTAAACCATTCGGCCCGCGATTTAGGCTGGATTTTAGATTTTGGCCCCTTCTCTGATTGAGTTCGAAACCCCTACTCTAGAGACAAAGAAGGTTAGCTGCCAACAGTTGACATCAATCATTTGGGTTACAGAAGGGCATAGTGTACTGTGAGAACCCTGTGACCTTGGTATCTTGGCCTTGGGCACCCTGATTAGCCTTATGCTTAGAGCGGCCTTAGCCATTCTGGTATATTGACAACAAGGCCTCTGTGTGCTCATTGACCTTGATTATCCAGGAACCTGGTGTGGTTCCCACAATACCTTGCCACAGAAGATTTAGGGTGTAAAAATCCCTGGGTGACCCCGAAAGTACCCCAAGCTAGATTCCCATTCCATATTCTCACAGTTAATAATCTTCTTCCAGAAAAGAAGATAGGGCATCCAGAAAAAAAGAGCATTCAGCAAAACAGAGCCCCTTTTCTTAATACTTTCTGATCTTGAGTGCAGTGTCCTATTCTATGTATGTTTAGCACAATCCCACATTCCCTTTGCTCTCTGAACCCTAAGGCACTAGGAGGTAGAGGACATCCCCTGTTCAGCTAACTGTGAAGAGATGTGAGGCTAGCTTTTGCACACCAAAGCAACTTAACTCCTGAGGAGCATGTAGGATTCCCCTTTGAACCCATCCTCCTTTATTAACCTGATAACCTGCTCTTTCTCCAGATTTGGATCAAGAACCAGCATGGAGGAAACAGCTGCTATAAAGTCAGCCTAGTGTGGCACTAGAAGCACCAAACCAAACCATTTCAGCAAAGAAGGAGGTGACTCCTTTATCTGTACCCTCTACAAACATTCATCCCCCAAGTCCCAGCATTGTGAATGCTTATGGCCCTGAACTCCATAAGACTTCTAATATCGAGAAATCTGGAGGGACTGGTGCAGAATGCATCATGGGATTCTCAGCCTCATGACCTCCAACAGATATGTCTGGGTGTCTCTGATTCTTCTTGGGCATCCAATCCCTCTGACATAGGTAAATTTATACGCCTATATTCCTTACCTGGAGAGGATCACCCCAGCAGCCTAGATGAGTACCTCTTCCCCAGGTGCCCTAATTGAGGGAATATGGCTGGGATTGATCTTTAGTGTGGTTCAAAATACATCCACAGCTCTTGAAAAAGGTTTGTGATTCAAATCTTATCAAACCGAGAAACATTTCCAAATATTTTAATGGGTCAACTCCAATTTAAACAGACCAGTTACTTATCTTTATCTATAATAAGAAATACCTCTACATTTTTTTTAAATCCTCATCTGAGGATATTTTTGCATTGTTTTTTTAGAGAGACTGGAAGAGAGAGGGAAAGACAGAGAAATATCAATGTGAAAAAACACACATTGATTGGTTGCCTCCTGCACGAGATCCAACCAGGGCCCGGCTAGGAGGAGCCTGCAACCAAGGTACTTGCCCTTGATTGGAATCGAAGCAGGGACCCTTTGGTCTGCAGGCTGATGCTCTATCCACTGAGCCAAACCAGCTAGGGTGAGAACTTGAATCTTTTAAAAATGATTCTCCAATTATGTTAAGCAAAATAAGCCAGTCAGAAAAAGATAAGTATCACATGATCTCACTCCTATGTGGAATTCAATGAACAACGTAAACTGATGAACAAAAATAGACCCAGAGACATAGCAGCATGGAACAGACTGTCAAACCTCAGAGGTAGGGGAAGAGGGAGAAGGGATCAACCAATGAGCTCATACTTGTATTGCATAATTCATGGACACAGACAATAGGTTGGTGAAGACCTGAATTTGGGGGTGGGGGCAGGGTCGGAGAGGTCAATGGGAGAAAGAAGGGACATATTTATTTATTTATTTATTTATTTATTTATTTTGTGTGTGTGTGGGTGTGTGTTTAAATCTGGTGTTTATTGTGAGTTTGGTTGACTCTATTATATAGAAAGGGTGAATAGAGATATTAAAAATATTTTTTCTAATTAATTCCCTTTCAGTGTGCACGAATCTGTGCACCAGGCCTCTGGTAAGTATATAACTTCTTGTTCCCCCAAACCCACATCAAGGTATATGCCTCCTGCTTCAGGTCTTATTTTGTTGGTCACTTCATTTTGTTCATTAGATTCCACAAATAAGTGAGTCCATGTAATATTTGTGTTTTTGTTTTTTTTTATTGATTTTTTTTTTGCCCCCCTCCCTCCCACACATCCCCTCCCTCCCCAGAGTTTTGTGTCCATTGGTTCTACTTATATGCATGTATAAAGTTCTTCGGTTGATCTATTATCTCCCCCAGATCTTCCTCCCCTCCACGCTGTAATTTGACAGTCTACTTGTTGATATACTGTCTCTATATCTATCTTTTGGTTCATCAGTTTATAATGTTCTTTATCATCCACAAATGAATGAGGTCATGTGGTGTTTCTCTTTCATTGATTGGCTTATTTCACTCAGCATGATGTTCTCCAATTCCATCCAGGTTGCTGCAAATGATGAGAATTCCTTCTTTTTTATGGCAGCATAGTATTCCGTTGTGTAGATGTACCATAGTTTTTGGATCCAATCATCTGCTGACGGGCACCTAAGCTGTTTCCAAATTCTGGCTATTGTAGATTGTGCTGCTATGAACATAGGGGTGCATATATCCTTTCTGATTGGTGTTTCTAGTTTCTTGGGATATATTCCTAGAAGTGGGATTACTAGGTCAAATGGGAGTTCCATTTTCAGTTTTTTGAGGAAACTCCACACTGTTCTCCACAGTGGTTGCACCAGTCTGCATTCCCACCAGCAGTGTACGAGGGTTCCTTTTTCTCCGCAACCTCACCAACACTTGTCGTTTGTTGACTTGTTGATGTTGGCCATTCTGACAGGTGTGAGATGGTACCGCATTGTTGTTTTGATTTGCATCGCTCGGACAATTAGTGACTTTGAGCATGTTTTCATGTGCCTTTTGGCCTTCCTTCTGTCTTCTTTTGAAAATGTTCTATTTAGGTCCATTGCCCATTTTTTAATTGGATTATTCATCTTCCTTTTATTTAGTTGTATTAGCTGTTTGTAGATGTTGGAGATTAAACCTTTATCAGTGGTATCATTTGCAAATATGTTCTCCCACACAGTGGGCTTTCTTGTTGTTTTGTTGATGATTTCTTTTGCTGCAAAAAAGCTTTTTATTTTGATGTAGTCCCATTTGTTTATTTTCTCTTTAGCTTCCATTGCCCTAGGGGTAGTATCAGTGAAGAAGTTCTTTTGGCATACGTCTGAGATTTTGCTGCCTGTGGATGCTTCTAGTATTTTTATGGTTTCCTGTCTGATGTTTAAGTCCTATATCCATTTTGAGTTTATTTTTGTGAATGGTGTAAGTTGGTGATCTAGTTTCATTCCTTTGCATGTGTCTGTCCAATTTTCCCAACACTTATTTATTTAAGAAACTGTCTTGACCCCACTGTATTGTATATTCGTGCCTCCTTTGTCAAATATTAATTGAGCATAGTGATTTGGGTTGATATCTGGGTTCTCGATTCGATTCCATTGATCTATATGTCTGTTCTTGTGCCAGTACCAGGCTGTTTTGAGAACAGTGGCTTTGTAATATAGTTTGAAGTCTGGTATTGATATCCCTACTACTTTACTCTTCTTTCTCAGGATTGCTGTGGCTATTCGGGTTCTTTTATTGTTCCAAATGAACTTTTAGAGAGTTCTTTCTAGATCGGTGAAATATGTCGTTGGTATTTTAATGGGGAGTGCATTGAACCTATAGATTGCTTTAGGAAGTATGGACATTTTGATGATGTTGATTCTACCAATCCATGAACATGGTATGTTTTTCCATCTCCTTACATCTTCCTCTATCTCTTTTTTCAGTGTCATGTAGTTTTCTGCATATAGGTCCTTTACTTCCTTAGTTAAATTTATTTTTAGGTATCTTAATTTTTTTGGTGCAATGGTAAATGGAATTGCTTTTTTAGTCTCTGTTTCTGCAGTTTCACTCTTGGTGTATAGAAATGCCATGGATTTCTTGGCATTAATTTTGTATCCTGCTACATTGCCAAATTCATTTATTTATATTTTTTAAATAAATTTTTATTGTTCATATTATTACAAATGTTCCTTTCCCCCCCTCCTTCTAACCTCTGCCCTTTCCCCACCCCCCATTGTCCTCATCCATAGGTGCACAGTTTATGTTCAGTCTCTTCCCACATCCCCCTCTCCCTTTTTCCCCAAGAATAAACAGTTCACTCTCCTTCCATACCTCTGATTCTATTATATTCAACAGTTAATATTGTTCCTCAGATTTTTTTTTTTTAGTTTCCTTGGTTTTTAGATTCACTTGTTGATAGTTACGTATTTGTTGTTCATAATTTTTATCTTTATTTACTTTCTCTTCTGAAAGAACCCCCTTCAGCAATTCATATAATTCTGCTTTGGTGGTGATGAGCTTTTTTTTATTAGTGAAGCTCTTTATCTGACCTTCGAATCTGAGTGATAGCTTTGCTGGATAGATTATCTTTGGCTGTAGGTTCTTGCTATTCATCACCTTGAATATTTCTTGCCATTCCCATCTGGCCTGCATGGTTTCTGTTGAGAAATCAGCTGACAATCGTATAGGTGCTCCTTTATAGGTAACTACCTTCTTTGCTCTTGCTTCTTTTAATATTCTCTCTTTGTCTTTTGCTCTTGGAATCTTAATTATGATTTGTCTTGGTGTGGTCCTCTTTGGATTCCTTTTGTTTGGAGTTCTGTGCGCTTCCTGGACTTGTAAGTCTAATTCTTTCACCAGGTAGGAAAGTTTTCAGTCACTATTTCTTTCAGTATGTTTTTGATATCTTGCTCTCTCTCATCTTCTGGGACCCCCATAATTCTGATGTTGGTTCGCTTGAAGTTGTCCCAGAGGTTTCTTACATTATCTTCAACTTTCTGGATTCTCTGGCCTTCTTGCGTCTGCGGAGGAGTGTCTTCTGGCTCTTTATGTTCCAAATCTTTGACTTGATTCTTGCGATCTTTCATTCTGTTTTTAGGACTCCATAAAATATTTTTTATTTCAGACAATGTATTCTTTATTTCTAGTTGATCCCTTATTATTTCTAGTTGATCCCTTTTCATATCCTCATAGGTCTTGTTTATTTTATCGGCCTTTTCTAGGAGATTCTTGAACAACCTTATAAGTGTGGTTTTGAACTCTATATCCAGTCGCTTTTTGTCCTCCATTTCTTTCGTTTGTGATCTATTTGGTTTAGGCATTTTCGCAGGCAGCTTTCCTGATGGGGCGGGGTTTCAGGGTGGAGCCTACAGCCTTGGCTTCCGTCAGCCCCACCCTATGCGACTCCTGAGACTCAGGGTCCTTCAGTACTTGTTGCGAGTGCCTCTGAGAGAAAGGTGCCCTCGATTTTCGCCTGCTGCCAAACTGTCTATGCTCTCCCCCAATGAGTCCGTTATTGGGGTTCAGTTCAGTTGGTAGTGGGATTGGAGGTGGCGTTCAGAGCAGTCTGGAGCCCCTGTCTCCTTCCCATCAGGGCAATCCCGCGGCACAGCCGCCCGGCCCTTCTCTGCGCGCAGTGTGCGCGCCCCCGGGACCTCCTTTCACCGCTTCCCCGGAGTCCCACCTTACAGCCCGGCTCCCTATGGATGAGCCTGGGTCCCCGGGGTCTGGCCTAGAATTGGGGTTCAGAGCAGTTGGAGCTGGGCCCAGCACAGTCGGAGCTTTTCTCTCCTTCCCGCTTGGGACCGCCAGCCAGGCCCTCGGCCTCCCTCCTCTCCGGCTCTGTCCTCTCTGCGCGCCACGTGTCTCCGTACCTTGGGCTTTTACAGCTCCTCCGCGCTTCCTTCTGGTTTTCTCCTTGCTTCTTGTTGTAGAATTTCCAGTCAGTTGACTTTCCTGTAGTTCTGGGTAATGTTCATTTTATATTTTAGTTGTATTTTGTTGAAATTGTTGTGTGCGGCTGCGGCTAGTTGCCTACCCTAGCAGCCATCTTGGATTCTCTCGCCAAATTCATTTATTAGGTCAATTAGTTTTTTAATGGAGTCTTTTGGGTTTTTTATGTACAATATCATGTCATCTGCAAATAAGGATAACTTTACTTCTTCTTTTCCAATTTGGATGCCTTTTATTTCCTCCTCTTGTCTAATTGCAATGGCTAGTACTTCCAGTACTATGTCAAACAGGAGTGGCGAGAGGGGGCATCCCTGTCTTGTTTCTGTTCTTAGAGGGAATGGTTTTAGTTTTTGCCCATTGAGTATAATGTTGGCTGTGGGTTTATCATATATAGCTTTTATTATGTTGAGGTATGATCCTTGTACTCCCACCTTGTTGAGAGTTTTTATCAGGAAAGAGTGTTGGATTTTATCAAATGCTTTTTCTGCATCAATTGATATGACTATATGATTTTTATCTTTCAATTTGTTTATGTGATGTATCACGTTTTTTGATTTGCAGATATTGTACCATCCTTGCATTCCTGGAATAACTCCTACTTGGTCGTGGTGTATGATCTTTGTGATGTTCTTCTGGAGTCAATTTGCTAGAATT